GATCTTGCCACCCCTTGGCAAATTTGTACGCGGCTGGGCTATTTCCCTTATAGCCTGTAGCAATAGAGTTTGGAGTGAGTGGCTGTTGACCTGTGACGATCTCAAATGGGCTCCTCCCGGTAGACTCGCTCCTTTGCAAATTGTAGGAGAACTGGGCTATGTCTAGTAGCTTCGCCCAATCCTGCTGGTTGGCACTCACATAGTGCCTCAAGTATACCTCCAACAAGCCGTTCACCCGCTCCGTCTGCCCATCTGTCTGAGGGTGAAAGCTAGTGGAAAAGTTTAGATCTGACCCCATAAGCTTGAAGAGCTCTGTCCAGAATCTCCCTGTGAAGCGGCCATCTCGATCGCTTACGATGGATTTTGGTAGCCCCCAATACTTCACCACGTGCTTCAGAAATAGTGGTGCTGCTACCTCGGCTGGACACTTAGCTGGGGCTGGAATAAAAATACCGTATTTGGAGAACCGATCAACCACCACCATAATAATGTTGCATCCATCTGACTTTGGCAGACCCATGATGAAGTCCATGGAAATGCTCTCCTCACGGAATGGTAATGGCTCTAACAGTCCGGCTGGTGCTCTCTGGTCCGTCTTTGTCTTGTTGGCACAGCAAGCAAGTCTTCAGCATAGGCCTCAACATCATCCCCTCATGCGAGGGCAATATATATGTCTCTTCTGCAAGAGCTAGAGTTCTCGTGCACACCTGGATGTCCCGCCCATTGAGAGTCATGGCAATTCTTTAAGGATCTGCCCGCCTATATATTCCCGAACCAATGGCACGTAGCACCCGTCTGCCCTTTTGTATAAAGTTGTCTCCATCTAGCCAAGAACCTTCGAGTTTTGGCTTCTTTTTGAGTACTCCACCATGTTCTTGGCTGTAGGATCATCAGACACACCTCCCTTCATTTCGGTCTAAGTAGTGTTCTGAGGATGACTCACCATAGCAGCAAGTTCCGGCCTTCCGGCTTATACGCATCTGCCACTAAGTGTATTTTTTCGCGGTTTGTACGCTCGAGCACAGTAGTCAAACTCCTGCCAAGAAGTCGCTGCCATCCGTGCCTTGCTTAGGCAGATAACTTCTTCTGAGGTCTGGAAATAGCTGGTGCGCACGTGTCTGTCTGCAACATGACTTGGCTCCAAGTAGTAGTGCCTGCCATAACTCTGAGATCAGTGGACCACGAACGTCATCTCCTTGCTCATTGGAGCGGTGTAATCGGCTTCTCGGTGTCGTTTAAGCTTCCGACTCTCATAGGCCACCAGGATGTGCCTTCTTGGCACATTCAACACCCCTCAAATTGCGAAGTCAGCTCGCATCCGTTGTGGCACTTCATAAGGCTTGCTAAAGTTGGGAAGGCGAGAACTGGTCCTCATCCGTCACAGCTCTCTTTCAAAACCGTTACAAAATGCCCCCCTGACATTTTTGGACTCGCCAATGCCCATGCTTGATTCTTCTTCAGCAAGTCTGTTAGTGGAGCCGCGCAATGCTGGATAGCTCTTGATGAAATCTTCCGATAGTAGTTCACCAAACCCAGAAAATGATCGGGCAGCTCCGTCACCTGGTAGGAGGCTCCACTCAGTATGGCTCGGTATCTTAGCTTGATCCATGCGGATTTTTCCTCCTCCAATGATGTGGCCTAAAAAGACCACTCCTCCTGTGCGAACGAGCATTTCTCTCTTCACATAGAGCTCATTTACTTCTAAGCGCCTGGAACACCTGCCTCAAGTGTTCCACATGCTCGTCCATGTTTGCTATAGACCATAATGTCGTCCAAGTAGACCACCACGAAATGGTCTAAGAAAGGCTCCAACACTTTTTCATCATGTGGCAGAATGTTGCGAGCATTGGTGAGACCGAACGGGCATAACCAGGAATTCATAAGAGCCGATACCATAGTCACGCATGTCGTCTTTGGTTCATCTCCTTCAGCAATCCGCACTTGATAGTATCCCGAGCGCAAGTCAAGCTTTAGTGAAGTACCTGCCTGCCCCAATCTATCGAATAAGTCCTCATTAAAGGAATGGGGATACTTGTTCTTCACCGTGATCTTGTTTAGTGCCCGGCGTAGTCGATGCATAGCCGCAATGACCCATCATGCTTCTTTTGGAACAATACCGGGGCACCATATGGAGGCTTTGGACGGGCGAATGTATGCCGGCATCCAGTAACTCCTTCAGTTGTTTCCGAAGTTTCCTCCAACTCGGGGCGCCATGCGATAAGGAGCCCATGGGCTGGGGGACGAGCTCCAGGACTCAAGCTCGATCTTGTGATCTACCTCTCTTCTAGTGGAAGCTACTAGCAGCTTAGCGGGGCATGAATGTCTTGGTACTCCTCTAAACACATTGGATTTCCTTGGGCACGTCTTCTCCCTGGTGGTGAGTCTTCTCTACCTTACTGTGGCAATTGAAATTGGCGGAAAGTTGGCTCATGTCGACGGACGCCCTTGGACACTTGTAAGGCCGAGAGCATTTTAGAAGTCACACTCTCGCGCTTGATCGGAACTGTGCACGCCTTGCCCTCTAGGATGCACATTGTGTTGGTGTATGGAACCAACACGGCCTTTACCTTGTCCAAAAATTCCAAGCCAAGCACTACGTCAAAGTCATCCATGGTCACGACCGTCAAGTCTTCTTGGCCGCACCATTCTCCGATGTTCACATCCACCTTTTGAGCCACGCCAGCGATAGGAGTGGGGTTTGAATTGACAGCTTTGATGACACCCCCTCCCTTGGTGATCTTGAGATTCAACCTACTAGCAACATCGCGAGAAACCAAGAGATGAGAAGCACCTGTATCCAGAAGGGCCTTGAAGGTCTTGCCTGAGATGATTGTCTCGACGAACATCGCCCCTCGAGGCCTTGTATCTACCTTTGCCTTGATCGCATTGAGAAGGCGAAGTGAGTTTATTCGGGTCTCCTCATTTTGCTTCTCCTCTTCTCTCTGAACTATGGCCGCAAGATTGGCCCTCTTGGGACAGTCCATAGCCTTATGTGGACCGCTGCAGAAGTAGCATGCCAACTTCTTTGAACGGTCACCTCCTTTAGAGTTGTCATATGACTTACCCTTCTCGGACGTTGACTTAGGTGGGAACTCTTTGGATGGCTTGTCCTTCTCTCCCCCACCTTTAGCAGGCTTATCCTTCTTATCCTTTGGCTTGGACGAGACGTTCACCTTTTTGAACTCGATCAGCGACTCGGCTACTTGCATTGCTTGGGCAAGAGTCTGGACGCCACGCCTTTGTAACTCCATCTTGGCCCATCCCGCGAGGCCATCCATGAACGAGAATAGAGAGTCCTTCTCGCCCATGTCCGGAATCTCCAGCAGCAACTCTGAAAATTCTTTAACATAATCCCGAATTGAACCTTTCTGAGTAAGGCGACGAAGTTTGCCTCGAGCCTCATCCTCAGCATTCTCCGGGTAGAATTGCCGCTTCAGATCCGCCTTGAATTCTTCCCAAGTAGTGATGGAGCACGTACCCTTTTTCATATCCTCACATCGTCTACGCCACCACAACGTAGCGATGTCTTCGAGATAGAGAGGTATGGCTTGGAGCTTGGATGCATCATCCCTATATCCGGCAGCATTGAAGTATACTTCCATGTTCCATAGGAAGTTATCAATCTCCCGGGCACCCCTAGCTCCTTTATACGGCTTCGGTTTAGGAGTATCTTTAGCCATGAAAGGTTGTGAAATCATACCTCGAGTTGCCAAGATAGCATCATATTGGCTGAACTTTTCTTTAAATTCAGCCATCTCCTTCAGGAACATTTCTCCTTGGCTTCGTAAGAATGCACACTCCTCACGTACGGATGTGATCCCTTGCTGTAGCATGTCGACGGCGGAATTCAAGCGCTCGATCCCGTGCGGCACTTAGTCACTCTTTCCCTCACTAGAATGGCTAAGTCAGCCTAATCCCTCAAACACTCACTCAAGAGAAGGGAAGAGAACACTCAAGAGTGGAAGTGGAAGCTCTTATTGCTTTATTGCTTAGCAACTCTTGCTTGGTACAAAGGAAATGCCTTAGCCCCTATTTATAGGTGAGGCTAGATTACAATGAATGGCTACGATTGGCCTTCTAGATTGTTCCTACATCCAACGGTTAGGATTGAGTCTCTAGACTCTTCTCCCAAAATATCTCCCTAGATATTTACATGAGACTTTCCTTGAATCTTCTAGATACAAGATATTTGTCATATGTAAGAAAACTCTAGAAAACCCAAGGAACTTCATGGACCCAACCTTTAATGAGTGAGTCCAAATGCACCCAAGTGAGCCAAAATGGGGCGGTTCGTGACACATGCATGTTGCCAACCATATTCATAAATTGATGGAAATGAATAAAATATTTTTTTGCAACACCAAATCCACCGCATTATTCATGGAAATGAATAAAATATTTTTTTGCAACACCAAATCCACCGCATTATTCTCGTAAGGGCGCTCTCATATCCAAATACCTAACCCATTGTTTGCAAATCTTAACCATCTCTCGTTCTTTCTCATCGGTCGCCAACTTACCATGCAAGATGGCTTCAGAAATCAGAACTCACGCGCTCTGCTGTACACGTGTCATTGTACAACTATGGTTGTAGCATTCGGCGCTACTTCCAAGTCCCCACCAAGCTCTCATCCTTGCCGTATTAAAGAAGTTTCCAGAAGCGCGTCCGTGGAGAAAACTCAAAGGGCAATTTCGGAAAGCAGTACGCATCTTTTTTATTTCGGCGTAAAAACAATCACAGCCGTCCTTCACTAATCCTACGCCTGAGATTCACCTGACGTGTCATTCGCGAATTTTAACCCCCACCGCCTTTATCCCCGGATCGAAAAATAGTCACTACACGCGTCGCGATCTGAGAGGCCCACACTCGCAGCAAATAACGGGCCTCGCCCGTGCGAGAGGCTGGATCGTTCCACAAATTTCAGAAAGTCGGAGGGGTTTTGTGAAAATAGTTTCTAAAATTACATACCAGATGGAATAGAGCAAGTGGGCCCCTCACTCAATGCATCTCTCGCTCTCTTCTTCCTCTTCCTCTCTTCATTTTTTCTCATCGCCATGGTTTCTTGCGGGGTCCCCCAAAACCCTCAGATCCATTAGAACCCGGCGCACGATAGAAATTCAGGCTCACGCCAGCATCGACGGAGGATCCGTCCCCCCGCGCACGATAGCCCTCGCTGGAGCTTGGAACCCTAATTTTAACGGCGGATGAGGAACCGAGCCTGGATTGGAGGTGACTCGATCTTAGTAGATTGTTGATTAGGATGAAGAAGGGATCTACGAGGGCGCTGAAAGAGTTGTACGATTCTACTGAGATGATTACTGAGCCGGAGGCATGTAGATTGTTGTTATTTTTGTTTGTGTCTTTAGATTAGGGTTTAATCTATAATCTGATGATTGATCTAATCTAGATTAATTAGATTAACCTTGGACTTAATTGAATTATCGTGCTATTACTAAGTTGTTGATGTCTTATAAATTATTATTATTATTATTATTATTATTATTATTATTATTGGTATCCAGATGCACATCTCAATTTTGTTATAGTTTTGTGATGTTAGTTGGAGTGGAAAGCTAGGGTTTTGGGATGATTTGAACGTGATCTATATAATTGCACACTATGGTGACTGATAGTTCTAATGTGATTTGTAGATTACGCCAGTCCTGGAAGGGAACTGTCGCATCCAAGGGCCCGTGGACGAGTCAGATCATGAGCTTCGCGGGACAAATTCTGTAAGATGCTCGCTTGATTTTTTTTAATCCAAAGTTTTTGTATTCTGAGGGAAAATAGGGCTTTAGCTCATATTTTATTATAATGGTGAAGGTTGGGATACAGAAAAAGGTTACGTGAATATATGTTGTTACCAAGAGCCGAGAGGTATACACGAGCATCCTAGAGTTACATTTTGTTAATGAAGTGCATGGACCATTAAGCATTTAAATCGTGTCTCTTTGTAATGTAATTTCCCTGCTTTGGTAACTTATGATGGCTTCATGTTTTGTTCAGACCTATATAATAGTTACTGAAATGTTTAGTATAAGTTTTCTCGGGGCATATCACTTCATTTTGAGTTAGTTCCTGGATGATTGTCATATGTATTTCTTGACAATATAATTGATCTGTTAGCATAACATGTGAATCCATGAGAATGTTCTAAATTTTATGTGACAGTAGCTCGTATTTTGTAGCTTCTTTGATGTGTAATCACTATTGTTATTGAAGATTGGTTATTGATCATGATGGCGAGATATATGATGATGTGATTCACCCGATCAAATCGGGTGATTAAAATGGAGGAGCGTCTATGGAGGCTTATGTGACTCTGGAATACCAATGAGACTAGTGGGAAAATTCTATAGGATTATTATAAGACCAACAATGCTTTGTGGATCAGCATGTCGGCAATTAGAAAACAAAATGTGCAAAAAATGAGTAGGAAAAGTACTATGGTCTTGAGGATAATGCACTAAAAGGTAGGATACAAAATGAGTGCACTCATAGAAGATTAGATGTTGATCTTGTTGAGGATAAAAGGAAAGAAAATCACTTGAGATGGTTTGGTCATAACCATGAAGGCCACTATAGGAGAAGGGATAACTAATAAGATTATAGTTAATGCAACAAAGGGAGTAGAGGTCTTCACTGTTTGCACCATGGGATCTCAAAGCCTTAATCTTCAGAACGCATAGACAAAAAAAACAGGGATTATCATTTGATAAGTGAAGGCCTTTAAAAGTCAGTTGGGATCCGATCTCAGATTCATCATTATCCTTTCGTCTTTATGTTTCAGTAGAATTGTAACTTACTTCTACATATCCATGTTTCTTTTTCTGAACTTCCAAACACAATTAGATTTTCTGCTAAACCTCTGCTCACATATAGCACACTATTCAATATGAATGCCCTCTAATATAAGGGTGAGTACTAGATAACCACTTAACATTGCAATCTTTTTGCTGCTCGCATGCAGGATCCACCCCATATAATTGTGCAATGTTTCTGAAAAGTTGCATGTTTTGATGTATATTTGATATATTTGGTCTGGTAAGAAGTTTTTGGACATGTCTTTTGCTTCCACGGTATATCTAGATTAGAATTATTCCACATTATATGTAGATCTGAATTGTGCACTGTGTATGAGATTGTTTAGATGGCTATGAGCTTGCAGGCCCTTACTTTGTAATAAATCTATTGTCTCCATGAATATGCTGTAGACGAATAGATTTGTAGGCGCTTATTCACATGTGACATGTATTGCATTAACTCACACAAATCCATTTCATGACTGCACATGTGCTGTCATCATCTGCGGATATTAGAGTTTATCACATCACAATGTTATATCCTGATTCCTGTTCCTTCTCTTTATGTAGGGTTTATTTCCCTCTGAAAGAAAGTTAACCTTCACAGATAGCAGTCCTCATATGAGAATTGAATCCGGGACTTGCAACATGTGCTCTGCTCCTTGTTCATCCTGCATGCACAATAACAGAACTGCACTAGCTATGGAATCAAAAATGGAGTGTGGATCATCCCGCTTTAGTTGTGCAACAAAAGAAGATGATAATTATTCTTTCATCTATGCTGACAGGATGCCCCATTGTAAAAGCAGAATATGTGATGATTTAGAACATACAGCTAGTGAAGCAAGTAACTTTCTTAGTTCCAGTTCAAGTCACGATTCATACTCCGAGTGCACAGAAAGCAAAGCATCAATGAAGGCCCTTGATACTTGTGAAGCACCTGAGAATGTTGAAACACCTCCTGTGCCGTTGAGAGAAACAGGGAAAGATCAATTCCTCCAAGATAAAAGAAGTTCTGCAGGTTTTTGTTTGGTTTCCTCAAATAGCCACGACACACCTGATTCGTGCCACGGGGACAACATATCTTGTATTAGTGGAATTAAAGATTCTAACCTTGACGTAGGTACTTGTAACACGGATCAGAAAAATGCTACTCGCAGTTCTGCATCAGCTCATATGTTGCTTTCTAAAGAAGTTGAAGATACAGTTCAGATTGAAGCCACAGACAACTTGCATGGCAGTGAAATTAAACAGCAACAGAGTAATTATAATAGGCTAGCAATGCACCGCGAGGAATCATTCCAAAATGGCGAATATTCTGTTAAAGCTTCCTTCTCTGATAAGTCCAAAGTTGAGGAGGTTCATATGTTAAAGCACATCACTTCTCCAAAAGTTCAATATCCATGCTCAGCCTCCCAACATGAACATGTTTTTAGCCACAATGCCTTCAAGAATTCTGATGGTAGTCCAAGTTGTCAACTACTTGTTGATGGGGGGGAATCTTCATTAGGATCACAAGCTGCAGTAGCTAGTAGCCTTGGTGAAAAGGAAACATTATCTAAACATGAACACAGTAAAGCAGGTTACACTGGAAATGTCTTCTCTGCTGATTCTGTAAGGGTTACTGATTCATTCTTGGGAAATGAACATGTCTTAGACAAGGGGATCTCATCTAATGAAGTTTGGATGACGAGCTCCATGAACAGGGAATTTGAAATGCCTACTTCAGTCGACGTGTCTAACGCGCAAGAACCTCAGCAGGTTATGGATAGTGAAAATTCTGAGTCAGAAACTGAGTTGTTAGATGTAAGTGCCTATACTTTTTGTGGAATTAACTCCATCTTAAGCATTTATTTTTCTGTGGGTTTCCTCTCAGATACTAGACATTTAGTTTATTCTTTTATATAGAAGGCATAACAGTAGTAGGTGTGCATGTCAGTTGGTCTGAGGAAATATCTATCTTGGAGTGACCATATGCTTCTAGGCTCACCAGCTGACAATTTTTCCTTCCGTTTCAAACCACAAAATAAAATAGTATATATTCAACCAACTTCAAAACTTTGGAATTAGGGCTTCATTGTTGTTGCTGTTGTTTATAGATTCAGCAATAATGTGAAAACAAACTGAAGTGGTAATGGGCTATGTACATCAACCTTGTAATATTTGAAATTTGGAATAATATTATTTAGAAAAGAAACTCTTATGAGTCTTACCAACTAAACAAACACAAAACTAGCCTTGGCTACCAAATGATGGAACACAAACTGACAAGTCTCATAAGGAGATCTATTAATGGTTGCTAACTTGTATTAGCACCAGGGCTCTTATAGGCGGGTGGGTCAAGGGTTCATGAATGAATAAGTCTCACAAAGGAGATTTTACTAATGGTTGTCAGTGGGGATTAGTGCTCAAGGAAAAATGTAAAATTCTTACCAATGGTAAAACTTTCAAGTAGGATTACTACTTGTATGAACATTTGGGATAAGGAGCGCTGGGAGGGAGGGAAGGTAAAATGCTTGTTTATGCTAAAACTTTCAAGTAGGACTACCTCTTCTTCTTTTTCTTTTTTTTGGAGAATATGGACTTCTACTTTTTTGTATGCACATTTAGGATATGTGATTGTGGTAGGGAGAGGAAGGTAAAATGTTTGTTAATTAAAACATATTTAGTAGAAGACATCATTTTTTCCTTGATCAGTGGCGGAGCTAGGAATTTTGGCAAGAGGTCCAAAATTAGTGAAGGTTGAGAATGAGGCGGCGGTGACGGTAATGGTCGCAAGTCACCCTAACCCAAGTCACCCTAACCCATGGGAGTAGGAGATACTCAACCACTTTTAAGCAATTGTTCCATAATTGAGTCATTATCAACCGCAATGATAGGAGGCATTTGATTTCTTTTAAGAAGTCGTTCCATGAGTGAAAAAGATGAAATACGTGAATACTAACATTTTTAAACATAAATTATCATATTAAATATAATCCATGTACAATATTGTTTTATATGAAATTTTATCCTCTGTCTTCATGTGCAAACTCCTGATGATTGGATTGATGATTTTTATTTGATTTTTTTAGAATTAGATTGTTATGTCCTAGGTTGCACTGGTACGGTTTCGAGTTCATTGATGATCACTTGATTGAGCTACATTGTGGATGATCCGTTCCGTTAAACTTGATCTACATATTCTAAAACCCCAACACACCAAATTTGGGGTGAACTCGTTGTGGTTTGACCCTCCGTCGAGCCATGTAAAAAGTTTTATTCACTCGAAACCGTTAAAATTGATACGAGCGGATGAAGGGTCAAACTACGACGGGTTCACCCCAAATTTGGTGTGTTGGGGTTTTAGAATATATAGATCAAGTTGAACGGAACGGATCATCCACAATGTAGCTCAATCAAGTGATCATCAATGACTAAGAAACTTAGTGGACGTCCACTTAAGTTGACAGAAGTTTTGCTCTATATTATATATATATATATATATATTATTTATAGTTTTTATTATGTAAATGTAGATTATAAAAAGGGGGAAGAAGATTAATAAAACAAAAAGGAAAAAGAACTCAAAAACCCAAGAATAATTCATAAAAACCCAAAAATAGAATTTCGAAACCCCAAAAAGCCCTAAATTAGTCAAAATTCACAAAAGCTACGTTCCTTTGTTCGCTGGAGATCTCGCTATCCTCGAAAGACCGGCAAACATCTGTGGAGGGTGCAGTGTTTCCTTGCTTCGATTGAGGTCTCTTGATGTGGAAAATGAGAGAATGAAATGAGATTTGAGGTATCGCTTTCCATAAAGATAGAGTTAATAGCGGTTTTGGGTTATTAGGTCCTAAAAACAGACCCGATTAGCCAAAGCAAATTTTTTTCGAGTCAGAAAAACTCCCACGTGCGGCGACTGGAATTGTTTTGTGTCCCTGCAGTTTGGGTGCGGATCCGCACCCGATACGTACCCGTGTCCCCGACACCGATATGGAATCAAATTTCCTATGTCCGGGTATCACAGTTTATGTTTTTGTCAAGATGAACATTCATACTTTGATTTTTTTCAGGAATTGAATGATTATGATTGACTAGAATTAAATTCCTTAGAAAAACTAAACCCTAAAACTGAAACAAATCAAAGGTGGGGAAAATCTAGAACTCTGAAAGTTAATACCCGAAAACCCTAAACAAATTAATAGAATTATTAATCATGGAAGGAAAAATAGATGGAAAATTAAACAAATCGATAGAGGGAAAAAGCTAAAAGTTATAACACTAAACAAATTAAACACTATAACCTAAACAAGTCAATAGAACAAAAGATAAAAGTTAGAAAATTAACCACAATCAGAATGTGATTAAGTGGAAGAGTGGATGAGCACCAAATGCCGGCCACAGCCGGAGGAGGGCGGAGATGAGCAGAGGAGTTGCCACTGTTCATGATTGCAGAGGAGGATTGTGAGAACAGAAGAGATCTCGCGATTAGATCTTGAGAAGAAAAGAAAGAAGTGAACTGTTTGTGAGGATTTTGTACTTTAGTCCTCATAACCTAGAAAATTACAATTCATCAATACCTCTTGTATTTTTTAATATATATATCCAATGAGGGCCCGGGCCCTTATATGGCTCCACCCCTCCAATTAATTGATCTTTACTCGAGAGGAAATGTTTATTAATGTTAAAAACTTTTGAAGTAGGATCACCCAGTATGGACTCACATTTAGGATAGGGCATGCTGTTACAATCAATATTCTTTTTGTTTGTGAATGAAATGTCCAGTAAATCTGTGCCTATGAGCTCTTAGTTATTCTAATTAGGCACCTGTAGGATTTCTGTAGTCCTGTCATTTGTTGACGAAAATAAAATTTTCACCACCAATCTGCATTAGACATTGTACATTTCGAGCGTTGTGCATCTAATCCTCTCTGGGATCTCTTACCGTCTGTTTGGCAGGTAAAAGTCTGTGATATCTGTGGGGATGCTGGACGAGAGGAAAAACTTGCTTTTTGTAGCAGATGCAGTGACGGTGCAGAGCACATGTAAGCCATCGCAATCTTTTTCTTTAATTTTGACCAATTTATCTCTGATAGTAAGTTTTCTTTGAGGTTTAAACTCTTTACTGCTCTCCTATTAGTTATTGTATGCGAAAGATGAGGCGTGAAGTTCCAAAAGGTGATTGGTTATGTGAGGAATGCCAGCTGAAGGAGGATGCTGAAAGGTCAAAAGAGATTGAAATGGTACCTGGAGCAGCCAAAGAATTTAGGCTGAAGGATAGTTGTGAAATTGAGAAGGTGGATAGGTCTGAAATGTTATCTCCAATGGCAAAAGAATACAAGCTTAAGGAGTATACTAAAGGCACAGATTGGTGTAGGTCTGAAGCAGTACTAGGAACATCAAGAGAACGCAAGGAGGACAATGGAAGTAAAAAGGTTAAGGTGGATAGGTTGGAAAAATTATCTTCAACGGCAGAAGCTGTCAAGCTTAAGGAGTATACTGAAGGCAGGAAGGGAAGTAGATCTGAAGCAGTACCAAGAACATCAAGAGAATGCAAGGAGGAGGAAAGTGGATGTAAAAAGTTTAATACATCTCAAAACATTCCCAAAACGTCAAAATTATTGTGTCTGAATGAAACCAGCCAGAAATTTTCTAGCACATCAGGTTCGAAGCATCCATCTAAGTTGGATATGAAAGCAGTTGATCCAGACATTGGAAGGGTGCATAAAGTACTGCAAAGTCCGAGATTTTCAGCTAAAAGACTTGCTGAGAGTCAGGATAGTGAATGCATTGAGATGGGAAGTCCTAGGAAAAAACCTGCTCTATCACGCGAGACTTCATTCAAGAACTTGGATGCACTAAAAACGAAGGTAGCAATCATGCCTGGAACAACAGAAAGTCGCGGGGCAAACAGTCCTAAGGGCTTTTCCCGCTCACAATCTATGTTGGGTTCTCATTCATTAAAAGATACAGCAAAGCTTCAGTCTCCTCATGGTGAGTTTGTTAACCATATTGCTGGTGAAACAAGCAGTTCTATCCCTCTTTTCCCTCCGACACCCCCACCCCAAATCCCATAAAATAAGGAAAAAAATTGAAAACGAAAGAAAAAAGAAAAAAGAACTAATTGGTTTTATGTTTGTGCAGGGTTCATCTCACGGTCAAGTTCTTTCAACTTAAGCTCTAAACCGAAGGTTAAACAGCTCACTGAAAGTGTTCCTCTTAAGCCAAAAATCTCTCGAGGATCTTCATTTAGCGACATGAAGAAAGAGGCACTTGGTAGATCAATGACTAAGTCTGCATCATTTAAAAACATTAAATCTGGTCGTTCTCGTAGTGAGTCAGCAAGTAAAGTTCAGTTCATTCATCAGTCCGGAGTTGCGGATCCAAAATCTTTGAAGCAGATGAAAGAAGGACATACAATGGAAAAGAAGAGATCTATCCATAATGGTCCCTCCACCATTTTATCTCCAAGGTCTCGTACCAGCATGACTCTTGCAAAGATGGACATGAAGACTGCAGGTCACGATATGAAGCTGAATATGTCTGAATCTAATGTTGCTAGAATGAGTAAAGGATCAGAGTCTGTAAATGGTTTAGGTAAATAATCTATTCCCTCTGGAGTCTCAAGTTTATCTTTGATTTAAATTTGAAGTTATTAGTAGTTTTTGGAGTTATATTATCCAAACTTTGCTAAAATTTGAAAATTTTGATGATTTCTTCTGTTATTTTGTCTATTAGGAAGGAATGAAGCAAAGAGGCAGACATCTTCATCAAAGGTTCCTGGAAGTGTATCTTTGAATGCGATGGTTAACAATGAGGACCAAAGGCAGTCCCCTGATGAAGGTGCTCGTGAGAGATCCAGCGCTACCGATAAATCATGTAATAATACTGAGACAGTTCAAGACTGCTCTGTTCTTCATAATGCTGAGCCAACTCATCAAGATGATAAAACCAAGGAGAGTGTTTTGAGCAACTCTAGGCAGTCAGTTTCTGCTGGGAATCAAATATTACGTTGTCAAAGATGTAATGAAGTAGGTCACACAACACAATTCTGCTCAATTAATAAGCTACGGTCATCTGCTGTTAAGCCTTCAACAGATAAGAATTCAAAGGATGGAAACGGAGAAGACAACAACCGGAAAGAAACGGAGACGGACATTCCGAAAAGTAAGTTGCAAAAGAACAACATACAGATTGCTCAGTCAAAGGAGTTGGCCATTTTGGATGCAAATCATAGCTGTGAAGAAGCTTCGAAAGATTTTGTGTCCAGTTCCACTGCTCATCCTAGAGATATCACTTTTGAGCCAGGAACATCTAATGAACAAGATATCTCAAGAAGATCAGAAGCTGATTGTGTCAAAACAGCACATGCTAGTGATGTAATGCTGCAACCCTGTCCACTATTTGAAGCTTCATGTGATTCTAGAGCTGCTCTAATAATTGAAACTTCTTGCTCTCCTAAAGACTGCGATTTAAATGCTTCTGATGCTATTTCAGTTGAGTTGAATACAAGGCATTTACTGCATGTTTTGCCTGATCAGGCTTCACTACTTGCAGCCCTTTCTAGAACTCCAACAATTCCAGAGCTTGAATTCATTTGGCAGTACGTCTCTATTTTCAGAATTTGATAGTGTATCGATACGCTTGAATCCTTTTTAGTTGTTTAGCTTAGACAATTCCATTTGTTTTCTTCTATTTGCAGAGGTAGTCTTGAGGTTCGAAGACCTGGAAATGAGTCTGTAGCATTTGATGGGATTCAGGCACACTTGTCTACATCTTCTTCACCCAGAGTTCTTGAAGTAGCAAACAAGATGACTTGCAAAGTTCAGCTGGAGGAAGTTCCCTCTAGTAGTTTATGGCAGTTGCAGTCTAGGGAAATTATTCCCAATGAGCATAACATTGCCCTATTTTTCTTTGCTAAGGATGTTGATAGGTTTATTTCTTATACCTTTTTTCATTTATTGTGTCCTCATGGCCTCGTCAGGTGTATTACCTGATTCTCCTACTCTGTTGATTTATTTTGTTCCAGTTATGAGAGGAGTTATAGCAAGCTGTTGGAGAAGATGCTTAAAAATGATTTATCTCTTAGAGGGAACATTGATGATAACGAACTTCTTATATTCCCGTCAACTAAGTTACCTGTGCATTCTCAACGTGAGTTTTATGTTAGTTTTTAACTGCAATTGTTATGTATGCTTGGTGGTTTCTCATCTTGAAGATTCCTTAAAGAACAATGTATATATTTTTCCAAAACTTCCAAAATAAGAAGACTGTTGTTTGCAGGTTGGAATAGGCTGTTTTTCCTTTGGGGTATATTCAAAAGGAGCAGCATAAATGGTTTAAAGTCCAAAATGAGTCCGCAGAAGGAAGCTTCTAGACCCTTGAATATGAACCATGCCACTCAAGATCTTCCTCCTGCTCTCACCTCATTAGTTTCCAGTTCCCAGGAAGCTGTTTCAATTGAGAATTCTGAAAAATCACCAAGAGGCAACATATCACCAGAGGACAAGGCATGCAAAATGAGTCCCTGGAAGGAAGCTTTTGGATCCATTTTGAACATGGACCATGCCACTCGAAACCCTCCTGTTCTTAGCTTTTTCCCTTCCAGTTCCCAAAAAGCTATTTCAATTGAGAATTCTGAAAAATCACCTAGGGGGGACATATCACCAGAGGCCAAGGTGCTGAGGTCCGCTACTTCTGTGGAAGCTTGGGACAATTCATCCTCTAAAATTGAGGATAGAATGTTCAAAGTTCAGGAATCTCCTCTTGTTCATAATTCTTCCTTTCAGGGTGCTTCTGGCATTAAGCCACAATTGGAGCAAAGTTCACATGCATTTCCTGTTAGCCATTTTTTAAGTAGCACAAACAAGCTTTCTAATCTATCCAATCCGCATCCTGAGTCGAGGTTTCAGAAGACCGGCACTCCATGTTGCTCAGAAGTGAAAAATGATGATGCTTATCTGGTAACTCTTTCTTTTCAACATCGCATTTGGTTTAATATGTTATGCTTGGTTGTCATGATTGTTACTTAGCTGTTGGTATATCATGAGTGCCTCAGTTGCTTCTGAATTGTGTGCATAGATGCGCAGATATTATTACTAATACACTTTCTTTGAATTTTTACTTGACTATATGCTTCTGAATTGCTCTATACTATTTTGATGATGATCCGTCTGCTTATCTTCTGTTGGTGTTAAGTTTTTTTGGTTGGCGACACCTTAGGCACTAGAACTACGCATGAATTTGATATCTCAAAATTTTAAAGCAGAAACAATTGGATCCATTTATTTACCTTGACAGCTTGCCAAAAGCTTGATATAACCAACAGCTAATATATTCATTTGGGTTAACTGGTACGATGTGCCATATCGATCCCATCTTAAGACCTTCTGCATCTACTAGTTCCAAGCAGGACTTTCCCTCTTTTTCAAATCTTCGCTGGTTCCTTGAAAGCTATCCAATCAAACTAAAAAGACGTTTATGATACAGCGAGAATCTAAGGCTAATTCTATCCACAGGCAGAAAATTTAACATACGAACATGACTAATAGCTTAATAACTCAGGTTTTGAGATAGCTTTCAAAGTTAATATATCAGCTGGCATTTTAATATAGCGCGTATGTGTATACAAGTTGCCGAGATGTTTTTCATAGGAAAAATTAATAGAAATATCCCCTAGATTAGTTGAATTAAAGCTATTTTGGCCTTGGTTTAGTTGATTTGAAGCTGATTTGGGTGATACAGGGATCCAGCTGTAGGTGTTTGGTATGATGGACACCTAGTATGCTATGATTCAAAAGATTCTGTTGTATTTAGCAGTTTTTTCATCACATGATTTGCAGATTTTTGAATCCTATCTGCTTCTCTCCTATCTTGTATGTATCTTTTTTTGTGTCTCTCACGTCTGATCGTATCGATTTTGACTGATGTGGATATGAGTTCCTTACAACATCATATTTGTATCTGTGATTAGAAAACACCCGTGCTTATTGGCAAATACTCTATCCACTTTGTGTCCAATCTGTTTGTACTCCTACACATACTCTACATCTAGTTTATCTTTAGCCATATCATTTGTATTTATCTAGTACATGTATTTTATATCCACGCCTATGCTTTACTGCTGCAGCTTCTCCCATCCATTTGGGTATGCTGATAACTATGTTCTCGTGCAACAACGATTTTTGGCTGTCAGATTCTTTCATGTTTAGATGGTTAGATATACACTGCAGTACATAATTAAGCCCAAAACTAGTCCTGATTCTCTTTGACTTCTGAAGATGGCAAATTATAAGAGAGGAATTTGTTCTAAAAAAAAAATTATATAT